CTGTCTCTGGTGAAGCCTCTTACTCCCCCGAGCCTCTGGCCTTTACCCCAGTTCTTTATGCACAAATAAATAAACTTAAAAAAAAGAGAGAGAGAGAGAAATGCTGGGCTCTCCCTGGTGGCACAGCGGGTTGGAGCCCAGCACTATAAACTGACCTCAGCTGCTTCAATGAGAGTTCCATCTGCAGGCCCAGAGGTGATCCACCTGGCAAGGCAGACCTCTTCTGTCTCACCTGCTGTCCCCCTCAGCAATGTACTTCATCAGTCTGCCTACTCTACTCCCCACTCTATCTCTGGGTGAATCCTGATACCGCCCCTGCATCTCTGGCCTGTACCACAGTTCTGAATGCATAAATAAATAAAATCTTTAAAATGAAAAATCTATAATTACAAAGTGAGAAAAGTATTTTTCTCCTTTAGTGACCATGTGGCAAATTTAAAAAGTTTAAAGGAAACAAAGACTTTTGCCCACGAGGGGATGGGTAACTTCAGGTGTTTGATTTAGAAGTTATATTCTTTGTGTTCTGTATTGTATATGAACTGTATTAAAGTCCCTTTTCATTAAAGTTTTATATGTTTTGTCTTGACGCGGCGGATGACAGAACCCACTTAGAGCAGGCAGATTTGGGGCTTCAGGGGTGCCCCCTCTCTCCCTGTCCTGGAACAGATTTGGTGTCCTGTAACATTACAGCTGGTTGATTAACAAAAGCAACTATAACAAAATCAATATTGTAAGACAAAGCAGTACTAGAACAAGTTAAAAAAATAATCAGCATTCTTTTAGAGTGCAGACAAGTACCCAAATCTTATCTCTCTGCTATCTCATGTAAGGCTTCTATTCAGTTTCTAATGAACTACCTAAGTTTTCTATTGTCTACTCTTTAAATAAGGAACTTCACCTAAGTCTTCTATTCAGTTTTCAAGGAACTTTACTGTATCAGAATGAAGGCCATTAAGTAGCATTTAAGGTTTAAAGGGACTTTATTTTGGCCAATCATCACTGTGATAATATAATAATGTTAGCCTTAAATTTTATGAATTTATGTACCTATCTTAATTTTAATAGATCGATTTTAAGAATAATGCTATAATCTCAGCTGAAGGTGAAGGAATGGAGGAAGTAACTAACGCAGGCTTGAGCAAAACTAGACTAGCCCAGGCAAACAACCACCCCCGGCCCCAAACCCCGGAATGCAGGATAAGTTGAAGAGGGACAGTGTACACTTAAAATTGATTAGATAATGGGAATGGTGTGTCCCAGGCTGATTGGATCTGAGGCACCAGGAAATGAGACATCTATTCCTGGAAACCTGTCATTGGATGGTTGAACTGTGACCCAGGCTGTGATGTCTGTTAATCCTTGAATCCATTTGCTAAGTTGAATCTGTGCGGGCTTTGACGTATGTAACGGCCAACAAGGCCAATGTATTCCCTGACTTTCCTTTGGTCGGGGTCTTGCCTGAATCCTGCGTGTCGGGCAGGGAACGGCTTGACCCTGGCTAGCCAGCCCAATAAACTCTACTTTGCGAATTGCATTCTTGTATGACCTCTGTCTTTCG